CGAAACAGCGTCCTCTTCGACTGTAGCCCAGGTTTACGACCTTTTTTTTTTTATGAAATCAAAATCCACTGATTAATATAAAAGATGGCAACAATACACGCGTCATACAAACAGCTCACTATTTTACAATACAGTGGAACCTTGAAGATACGTCCCAAGTATTTTCCAGATACGGGCAAGCGTTCGAGCAAATTTTCTGCTTCGAGATCACGTAAAGATTTGAGAGACAGGCACGCTTACCGACACCGACGCTAGGTGGCCGAGCACTCGGAGCAGCCCACTCTTTCACTTCACGCGTTCGTCCATTTCCGTAGTGTGTTTGAGTTATCTACATGATTTATTTTTCGATCACAGGAATCCTTATATACTATCATTTTTGTCTCTATAGCAATTAAAAACTTTTTTTTTTTACATTGTTATTAGCGCTAAAATAAGCAGCCGGAATGGATTCATTTTTTTTTCTGTTATTCCTTACGGGAAAAAAAAATGATTTGGAGATACGAGCACCTCGAGTTACGAGCTCGGTCCTGGAACTTTCAAACCATCTCTACATCACGTCTCCAACTCTGTCTCCAAGCTGTTAAACCTTAACTGTCCCTCTAATCCAGTGCTTTCAAAACGTTCTATGCCGGGAAAAATTTCTGAAATTCTGTCCATGTCACCTCCCGTTCAGCGTCATGTCTTTGAGACTGATCCCCTCCGATCGTCACCTTTTTTTTTTCGACTAACCTGCTTCCATCTTTTTCCAGACAAACTTAGAACAATCGTTTCATTTTTTTCCCCACTTGCCCGACATCATGTAAAACTGCCTTGTCTGGTTTCGTCCCGTTTCCTCTGCCCCCTTCCTTCTTTGAATACTAACGTGCCTCATTCCAGCAACAACTCGCCTTGTCATCTTTTTTTTACTCTGACCTTAAGTCATATCAAATACTTTTGGCACTCGTTGAGCTCATCCGAACTCTTCCCCTTTTAAAGGAAGTGACCACGGCCTCTTTTATTATCCTCGCCAATCTCCAACCATCTGTCCTTCTGCATTCCTGTTCTCTCTCATTCAAAATAGTTGGAAATGTTTTCTAAACATGCCACACAATTTAAAAATTTTTTTCTGATAATATATTTAAACCATACCAAACCAAAAAGACCAAGAAAAAAA